ATGTTGGTATATATATATATATATACATCAGTATAAATTTCTATTTTTAATATTGCTTTTGTAATTGCAATTGTTCTTTGAAATAATAACTAATAAAGTTTTTTTTTTCATGTCATCAACTGGATTATTCCCTAGATTTTTTGTGGTTTGTTTTTTTTCCCAGTACTGAAACACATCAGTTTTAATTGCGTTTGTACAAACGAGCTTTAAAAATCTAATTTTTGTAAATTATTCAGGGAACACCTTTTTTTTAAAGTGTTCTGCAAACCCAATAATTTTTGGAGAAACTAAATCTTTACATTTCACCATAAGATTGTAATAGATTATACACTGGAAGTGTATTTTACTGACATTTTGTTTGTGCTTGAATTTAATGTTGTTTGTTGTATTCTTATCTGGTGTGACAGGTCTGGGTATGTGCTGCACAAATGAACCTGACAGTGACAGATTAGCACCTGAACCAGCAGATTAGCACCTGAACCTGCAGATTAGCACCTGTTCCAGCGTGTTGTTGGCCGTGTACTCACGGAAGGGGTTGATGTGTTTCCTGACAGTCAAGGTGAAGCTGCTGCCTGGGTTGTGGATGCGGAAGAAGACCATGGCCACGTTCTGAGAGGAGCGCACTGCAGTTCTGACTGAGCTGGAGTCACAGTAATCCACGTATCGCTCACTCAGAGGCAGCGGGTGGTCCTGGGAGCTGGGGAACGTTTCCCCTTTCATCACCCAGCCGTCAAACACCTTCATGAGCCACATGCACAGAGAAAGCATGCTTACAGCACCCCACGAGCACAGATTTACACAGAATATAAATAATTAATAAAACGTTGCATCTGAAGTAAACGTGTTTTTCCAGGGGCTGTGGGAGGATACAGGTGCTTATTGACAGAAAAGGAGGAATGCAGACACAAACTCCATGATTAATTCCTGCTGTAATCTCAGAATTATTGACACGTTTGAGTCAGAAGTTTGATCGTTTTTAACACGATGCTGCCTGCAGGGGTGGGGCTCGTCTCTCATTTTACCTTGATGAAGTCTCCTCCGCTGCAGTCCACGTCCACTTGGTCATAATCCAGACTGATCACCTCGTTGGGCTGGGCCATGAAGAAAGCAGCACAGCTGAGCTGAGGAGACTCTGCTGTGAAGGTGAACCGACCCTCCACTGCCACCATGTCCACACATCCTGGGACAGGAGGGACACAGGAAGACAAATGGAGGCCTCAGCTGCATCATGTTTACCTGCTCAGGTGTTTGAAATGTTCCCTTCAGAAGGGAAGTTTCCCAGTCCTTGTGTTTTTTATAGAACCGTGTTACATGTGCACCTTCTGAAGGGCGTTTTGAACATTACTAAATATTACGAAGAAACCGTATTTAAGTTTTAATCCAGGATTTATAATACACATAATATAAATTACTCTTCATTTTTATTTTCAGTACAACGAGAAAATGAAAATGTTTAATTCAGATTAAATCAAAGATTTTGTTTTACAATAATTACAGTTATGTTGGTTTAATGTGGCTCATTAATTTCTTGTGTTTCCTGAGTGGCACACAACATTTTTTATTTCTTTCATTTTAATTTGACTTAACTGTAAACACTTTGCTCAGTTTTTGTTGTTTTTATGTGCTATAAGAATAGAATACCAGTAATGTCTATTTATAGAAATAAATAGACATTACTGGTATACTGCATCCAACAGAAGATGATACATCTCCTACAAGGACAGAACATCTCTACAGAAGACAGAACATCTCGTCAGAGGACAGAACATCTCTTCAGAGGACAGAACATCTCTACAGAGGACAGA